ACAAATTGGACACCCTTCGTGCAAGAAATTGAGAGATTCTTACTTACCTTTACGTATGATTCTCCACGCTATCCCAGTAAACAAACTCAGTATAACTTGCTGACTAAATGATTTGAGCAGTTCGAGTCTTTCTTTTTCATATCTTGTTAAATTGATCTAACAAAAACGATCGATCAAATAGACAATTTTCTAGTCGATGAGGTTAAGTAGACAAAGAAAACATTTGTGAGTCACAGCTAGAGATAAGAGCAACATTATATTTGTAAATAAACTAAGCAAGGATTGATTCCACACCTTGAGAATTCCCATCATAAAACTAGACGATAATACATCATAGGGGACGTGTTATGACTTGAATCTTTTTGTAGAATCCCTACCCTCAGGTGTTCGGAATCTATGCAAGGATGTCGCCGGTATATCATGTTTTCTTATAAATATAATGGGTTTTATTGAGAGCTCAGTTGCTGGTCTCTATAAACGAGTTTGAAGAGCTGTCCTGCAGATAGTGTGGAGAAAACGTCGTGTTAGTTGAGTTGAATTTGGAACGCAATGTCAGTCCGTGTTCACTGGATTTTACACAACTAAAGCACATTGATGGGAACTTACGGTATGCAGTTTATTCAATTCTTTCTTTTTCAGTCCCAAACGATCTTAACGTAATATTTAAATATTGTTTCTTAAAAAAGATTTATTGTGGGAAACTCGCCACATCGACAGAAATCTCTCATCAAAGTCAATGAATCGATCAATATCGACTAAAACACTTGTTGCTCGCATTTAATAAAAGAACCATTCCATGATAGTACTCCGAGTAAAGCCGGCTCAAAAATTGAAGTTAAGGACGCTTTTTATTCCTGACTAAAAAAAAAGCATAAAATTTATGGCAGTTTTTAATACATTTACTGAATTCTGAGTCCTGCATCTTTTTACGATGGTACTCATCATAAAGCTGTACATCACTGAGTTAGGTGGCAGAATTTTCATTTTTGGATCTGTATGGCTGGTATTAAGCAAAAATTTTAGGCAAGGTGATGCTTTTTCAGCGATTATTATGTTGGCCGCAACTCTTTCTGCAAAAAAAATAAACGTTTCGAATGAAGTAGAAATGAGCCATCGTGAGCGTGGCGAAACGTTTTTCTGGGGCTCAGAAAACCGCAAAGCATAGCTGTTTTGCGAAAACAGGGTACGATTTTTTTGAAATCAAACTTTAAGTTAGTAAGTTTGTAGTATTTATATTTTTTTCAAGGAAAGTTCAACAAGTCTTTCAGCCTGGAGGTTTGTTTGAAAATCTGCTTTGAAGCAAGTGCTCAGGCAACAACAAATGTTAACTAAAAAGCTTTACATTTCCAAGACTAAAACCCCTTAAGACTTTCCTTTTACAGTCTGTCAGAGACTAGAATGTCAAGAGGAAACGTAGAATGCGTAATTCTAACATATTGTCATAACAGTTGTTTGCCACTGCCGTCTAAAATAGAAGTTTTCATTTTTTGCTTCTTAATCAAAACCTCAGTACAGATAACGAGGAACACTGCATCTAGGAGGCCCGGAGTCCACATATAGGTCTTGTTAGTTTGTTGGCAACATCCAAAGAAATATTTTTTCTGTATGATCATATTGCTATAAATACAATACAAAAGATAACCTCAGCTTTTAATCCTTCTACTGATTGACATTTGAGAAGTATTAACCATGTGAAGTAGGACATTTTCCCCCCATATACAATTGCATCAAGGTTCCCACGGAACCGTTAGTGCGGTGTCACTGTTAAATAAATCAAACTCTAAAATAATATCCCTTCAGTAAGTAAGGGTCTTTTTTTCAGATCTATGACATTTTAAGAAAGATTTTTGCGTTTAAGTGACTCAATTAAGTAAATGCATCGTCCTAACACAGTAGCGTTAACCCAGCCGCAAAAATACTTGATTTTTACTGTAATTGTTGTAATTGCTTTCTTGGCACTGAATTGGTGTAAAATACCAAGCTATCTTGTTCCCTTTTTAAAATGGCGTGTTGCAGGAGAAAATCTCGGATTTATCAGACCGGCAGACTGTTTGGTGAATGTTGGTTGTTTCTGGAGCGACAGCTATAGCCTCAATACTAGCTTCTTTTCGATTTCTGGTCTTTCAGTATAAAATGCAAATGGTAGTTTCGATTGTGAACAGTATTTGGCGATTCCCTCGTCAAAATATTACAGGCACAACACCGTTTTGGGTTATTAAAGAAAATGCTTGGTTCTGTCTGTAACAAACTAACCAGATTCCTTCAATTTAAGTGTCAATAATTTCATTTCTAGCTTAAAACAAAAAACAAGGGTTAAACTTTTGTTGATATTCATTCAATTTAGGGGCTCTTGCCTTTCGTGTTAATTCTCTTTTATTAGCAAACAATTCATGTGACCAATTGAAGGCGACTTCTCAAGTATCCGAGACAGTATGGGATCTGAATTAAAGGCAAATATTCTGATGTGTTCATAACATGGCAAAGCAACAGCAAATAAACCCGTGCCATCGTAAATCGGGGAATTCCTTATGGAAACTCCGCGTGAACATGATTCAGGGAAAAAAGAAACCTTGAAGGTATTCGTCAAGGGCAAGGCAAACCCGAAGATAAATCGTTGATTTGCAGTTGAAATACGATTCAATCCATACTTACACCAAACTTAACAGAAGATAATATTGTATTAACTCGTACGATCAGTTTTCATTCCTTGAAAACTCAGGGTTGAAAAGACCCAAACCTCACAAAAACAAAACCACAAAAATGGTGGACGATTGTCCTCTCGGCGGAGCAGATAAGAGAACTGTCTTCTTATGTTTGTTTTAGATTTGTAACGGTGGCCCGTGGTCGCCTTTCGTCTACCTCAAATTCTTTGCATTATTTTTTACGCTCAACGTTTTGCAGGTGCTTGAAACGTTCCTTAAATAACGTCTAGGGAATTAGAATTTGAAACCACATTCAGACGGTAATCCTGTTGAGCCCTATTGCTCAGCAAAAGTCTGAAGACTGCCCAATTATATCGAAATGCGAGGCGTTTTTAAATGTGCAGTTTTTTCCTTTAAGTTCCATTCGAAAAGTTCTTCCTAAATAGGTCTGAAAGGGGTAGAAAGTTTTCGTTTGGCTCGTTTCAAACAGGAGACATTGCATGAGTATAATGAATGCAAGGCGTATTTTATTTACCGTATTCCCGTGGTAATTCGATTAGCTATATAGCGGGGTTTATGGAGAAAACAATTCCAACTGATGGATAAAATCTATGAATAGAATCAGCTTTCATCAGATAACGTGTAAAATGTCAGTTATTAAAAACCTATAGTTACTCCTCCTTTGAAACCAAGCGTGACTTGCTCTGCCTAAGAACAAAACAACCCTCGGGGACTCCTTTGTTTCAGCCTTGTCATAAGGGCCCACTGCAGCCTTCTCTTTATCGATTACATAAAGGTGGTCGCTGTTTAACGTCGATTGAATAAAGGCTGAAAAGTGAATATTTCTCCCAGCAGTTTGAATTTGAATTAAATGATACTCAATTTCACACCTCCAGAGTGTTAAACTTCGCTTGAGATAATGTGTTGGCGCTGTGTCTCACACTGTGAGAAAACGCGTCCAATTAGGTGTTATTTTGTTTATGGTTCTAGACCGTCTTTTTATTTCAATTAGGTTTTGAATTATTTTAAATTTATCGGGTTTTCTGCTGTTGAACATAGTGGACACCTGAAAATGGTAGTTTATGGCTCGGTCTCTTTATAGCTGAGCAATCCACACCCCCTTTCTACTCCTCTACGCCTCCAGATGTTCTTTTTCCCAGGGAAGAAAACCACATCAAGATTTGCTGCGGAGAGCTTTGTTCGAAACTTTAATGAAATTTTACGCGGGTCGTGTCTCTCTGCCGAAGTTTTCGAATACAAAAAAAGTGCTCATATTGTCCAGTTTTGCCGAGAGTTCAATTAACTATGGTTTTGAAGGATTGGAGGGAACAAAACCCAAAGCTAAGGTTGTTGTAGGAAGTGACCGAAATTTAGTGAGTAAGTGTTAAAATATCATGTGGCAGCTTTCATTCCAGCCGTAGCTTTTCGGTAAGAAACGAGAAGGCTTTAGCATTACACTTCGAGAAATCTTTCGCGAATGTTTTAAAATGGCGACTTTAGGGAAGAAAATCGACAGCAACTGTTAATGCAGCACTGCGTTTGGGCAAGCACATTGTTTGGCTAAAAATTTATGGAAATTTTGACATGGCCGCGTTTCGTTCTGTCGAACGGAAAAACACCAACAGTGCGAGAAAATTGTCGACATTTATTTAACTCATCTGTGTTTTGAAACTATTGGGAATTCTTACAAAGTTATTGGGTCAGAATTTCTATGTTCAGCCGCCCCCAATGAAGGAAAAGGCCCATTTATAATCAATTTAGCACTCTCGCGATATTTTTGTTGTAAAGAAGGCTTTTAATTTGACCAACTAGGAGAATCGACAAGGAATGCGATGTAGTTTCGGCGAGAAAAAGGGCAATGTTTTAATATTTTTGCCCCACATGCTGTGTTATTTACACAAAAAAAATTGATCGCATTTTTGTTCTGTTTATAATGATAATATAATAAGGTTAAACTCTTTATTCAGCGAAAAGAAAACAAGCAGAGAATGAGAATATAGCTTCTTTAAAGTAAATTGTTAATTATGTTTTTCCTGTTGTCAAACTCTATATCATGACATCGGTTGAACATCATCCCGGAAGTCTAAACCATTAATTATGCCTAAAGGCTGTTTCACGGTTTGGCATTTCGCCCTCATAAAACAGGAAAGAAAAGGCGGTGTTTAGAGACTGCGAAAGCAAGGCCTTCATGTCCTCAATACAAACGGTGCATGTATACAAAATAGTGAGATATAAATGTCCCGTTTGGTAGAAAAATTAAAGGACGCGCTCCCCTCAAACTGCTGCGAAGATAATTTAGCAAGTTTATTAATATATGCAGTTTATTTGTCAGAAGATTGTCGAGGGGCGACATTTAAAACTATAGCGTTGACTTAACCACTATGTTTTATTTGCATGGCGAGATTAATAACAGAGAGAATGTTTACACTCATTCATTCAATCGGTACAGGTGTTAGAACAACGAGTTGGTAATTTTGAATCAGCTCTTGCTGAAACACGTACTTAACTCGTCCATTGAGCTTAGCAAAGTTCAGCTGGCGATAGAATTCAGGGCGACCTATTAGCCAAGTTTTCTTCTTGTGACATGTTTTAGTGTTAACATGATAATGGGTTGCCATTGTACAAGCAGAAAGCAGTTTAGTTTCAAATCTGTTGCTAAATTTGCCAAACCCAAAAAGTCCCAGCAATGGCTCTTGGCAACTTCATCTTTTACCCTTTTAATTAACTCGAAACCCTTTTTTTGTGAACAGAACATATTTTGTACAATCTACGTGGTAATTTAATCCCTTACCAAACAAGGGTTTCAATGAAGTAATTGAATTAGCAAAACTCTAGAAAAGAGGATAATTCGCTTTTTTTCTTTAGATTCCAGAAACCTTTAGTTAGAAAAATAACTAAGCCTATAGATTTAAATCATCGAGACCAGAAAATACATTTACTTAATCTGAAGTAACCTGTTAATCAAACGAGTTGAAAAAGGATTAATTGGGACATTTCACGAAATGTTTGAAGTTTTTTGTTGTTCGTATTCCTTATGAAAGCAGAAATTGATTTACTTCGCACTTGTAGAAAATCGTAAATGGACTTGATTAATAGTTTAAACTAGGGTCACGGGCTAATTTTTGCTGACAAGCCTATAAATTAATTTGGCCCATAATGCGCGGATTGGCTAGAATGGGCCAACAAATTTTTACTTTTCTGCTCGCCTATTAACATGCTAATTTTTCACCGAGGAAAAAAATGTTTGTAGAATTACTTCCGAGCACTTTACGTAGGCCGCATATTTAGCGATTGGCAAATAAACGACATCATGGCTTTGTTTATCCTAAAAATCCTCCACGATTGCTTGCAGAAAGAAAGGGTATAGAAATCTAATGTAAGTAAAGCATCATTTCCTCCCACAGGGGTCGTTCCCCGCGCCAATTAATTATTTTAATCCGGCCATTGATAATCGTCATCAAAACAATTTAACAGCAAAATTCACGTGATCATATGTGGGCATCTTTTAAGACAGAAGCGCTCTCCCATTTGGAATCATTTACCTCAAGACGGCAGCACACCGCGATGCAAGGGGCAAAGACATCTGCGTTCTCCGTAGAATCACTCATTTCCAAGGAAGGCTTCGCCGAACCCAGAATGGATGGGACACATGCGTGTATATCACTGCCAAGGTGCTCTTCAGCGGGGCAGGAGATCACAAGGACCTCGCCTAGCTTCAGCACAACGATAAGTATACCACGACCATTAGCCCTCGAAGGAGTTGGCTCCGGTCATACAAGCGCATTCTCGCAAACTTCCCAACTTCCTCTTTCCAGTGGAAGAGCCTTCGCCATTCAGCGGAACACAGAACATCATGCAGGTACAGTTACTTAAACTACGCGGAGTTTTGTTGTTGTGTTGTTCTTTTGTTTTCTGTGAACTGTTTTTAATGTTTATCTCCTCCGAAATTCTAACAGTGACCTTACGTTTTTGTGAATGAATGTTAGCAAAAAAAGCATTTATCTAAAAAGAACTTGGAAACATGCTGAAAAAATAAAAAAATCACTTTGCTGAAAAACCGAATAAACTTCCTTATTACAAATTGCGTTGGCTGTCGATCAAACATTTCATGCTATCCTCAACAAGAAATTAATTTTAAGATTTCAACAATTTTTGCAAATTAGTTTCGGATAAAAGGGTGATATTTTCTTTTCTTTTGGTTGCGCAACTTACTAAAATGGACGCGCTAATCAAAATTTGTCAATTAAACAGGAACTGTGTTTTTAAGCTGTAGCTAGGAAGATCTATACCAGCAGGACCTTGCTCGATTTGTCTTCCTGTCGTTTTGACCATTTGTAGGAAGGCGAATGCCTAAAATAAGTTACAAACGACTCTGTGCAATCAATCTGAATTATCACGCAAGAAACATAGTGTTATTTTAACACCAGGAAAGGGCGTGATGGCTGTCGAGTGTGAACTGTTTCGACAGTTTTAAAATGTATTCGTTAATTGCGGCAAGAAGGTGTTCTTTTTTCAAAACGGAAAGGTACTAATACATGGTGATTTTGTTGAGGGGCTCATCCATCCTTGTGCCAAAAACTTAACGACACAAAGAGACGGATGTTGCTGGCTACGCTGTATAACTAAGAATGTACGCATTGAGCTTTGCACTATAGGCGATAAAAACCAATGTGGTTCCAAAATCTTTCTAGCTTCGATTTTTTGGGTGGGAATAGTTCAATATTGTAGATGTTTTAAGACAACAAAAGATTCTAAACCGAACAATAGGTGAACAATAAATTGAGAAGCTGGCGTCAAATGGTTCGATTCATTGGTTGTCTCTCTTGTGAAAGCTGACATTAATACAATGACAATGTACTTAATGCTAATAGAAAAAAGAAAACGTATTCAATTTCACTTCGATTAATACCGTACACACCTTTACTGTACACACCTGATTTTCTCCTCTTTGCTTAAAATGACAAAAAAAAAAAAGGCGCAAAGATCTTGTTCGAACCAAAAAGAACTTTTTCCATTCATTTTGATGTCACCCAAAATTCTACCTTTGGAAGTTGGTTGAGTTCACTGTACTTGTCAGAGGTGTTTCCAAGCAACAAGCCCGACCCTGTAACTCCACACTGACATAACAAAGCACTTCCGTTATTATTCTGTTGATTGACACCTGTTAAAACTCCTAACTTGTCTTCCTGATTCACAGACGTGCAACGCCACGACGACTCAACTCGAACTCGACGCTACAGGACAGCGTTTACCCGTGAGCAGCTGAGTAGGCTAGAGAAAGAATTCCTACGAGAAAACTACGTGTCTCGAACTCGCCGAAGCGAGCTTGCGACAACTCTTAACCTGTCCGAGACAACCATCAAAATATGGTTCCAAAACCGGCGCATGAAATCCAAAAGGCGACGCATGGCCCTAGGGCTGAAACCTGTCCAAGCATTTTGTCCCACGAGGCACTTGCCCTCTGATGGACATTTCAGTTCGGGTCATCTGTATAACGGTCTTCATTATGTGCCTTGGTCGCCATATTCACCTGTCAACGGCCCATTATGGCCACACGGAGTTCACTTCTTACACTGCGACCCACATTATCATCCGTTCTCTGTACCATCGGCCAGCACCAGTACAGGATCGAGCTACCGGCCACCAACTACACAGGCAAACTGTTCGCACGTCTGGAAAAGCAGCGAGTAGACACCGAGCAAATATCTTTTTTTGGCCAAGAAAGGTTTCAGTAAAACGAGAAATTTGTAGAAAACCACTTGGCAAGACTCATGCGTTGATATCACATGTAAGGGGTCCAAATCTAAGACATACTGCATTTCCTGTCACTTGCAAATAAGTAGAAAAAAAAAACAAATGATATAATTGATTACTTTCCTACAGCGAGTCCTATAAGGTTTCTAACAAATGGTGTTTTTTCAGTTATGGATGTAATAAAATGAAATTATATTGAAAAAGGCATTCTAGTTAATTTCATATACATTTAAATGTTCGAGTAAACAGTAATGGTAAAATTTCTCCATTGTGAATATTCCAGCCATTAAAGGCTTTGTTGCATGCGGGAATTTTTCTTCACTGTGCGAATTTTATCGCCACTTTACGAGTTGCACGAAAAACTGTCTAGTCATCAACAACCCTTAGCATGAACATTCCTCGTAACTTTTCGCGGCAAGCCTTGCACAAAATAGAATCTAGTTCTACGTGTGACAATGCTCACCGAAGCAAGATCGTTCATTTGAGACATGTTCATTTCAGGGTGTAACACTAGACAACGCTTCGTGCAAATTGTCTAACGTCCCAACAAACTTGCGAGATAAGTTTGCAAGACTAATTGTCTGGTATAACAGTGCCTTAACTTGGTTGGTCAGATCGGTTGGTCATATATGAATTAATCAACAATCAGTCGTTGGACTCGGATTGCTATAATCATTATGGCAGTAAAGATAATTGTTATAGATGGACATGCTTGGTTAAGACTTCTTTTCTGGCAGTTAGGCTAGCAGCTCTGCAAAGGTCGGTAAATTTAAGAATGAAAGGGGTTTCTCCGACATCAAGAGATGTCTGTAAGTTCGCGACGTTACGTGAACGAGATGGATCTCAGGCTCCAAAAGGTGATAAGCTTCCAAAGCCGTCGATAAAACAACGTTGCTGTTGGACCCTGTTAACTTCACAGGTTCGAAAATATCAGTGTTTAGACAATAAAAGTTATTTCTGCTCCACAGAGTGGAAGTGCTCATTTTATCATTTAAAACAACAAAAGAAAAACATTCAGAGAAATTTACAATCTAATGATGCAAACAAACTGGCAAAACTTTACTTTTTCAGTTATCCTTGACAATGTTATTTTTCGATACATTCTTAAACGTTACAAATTAAGCTGGAGGTCGTGGATATGATGAAATTATGGGCTTAGAAATTCAAAGAAGAGAGACCTCTTGATGACAATGAGCCATGTTTTCCTTTGGGAAAATATCTCTTTCATTTGATCACCTGACATAAATAGAAAATTAAGGAAAACTTTGGTCCTTAAATTGGGGCTAACGCGAGTCTGAACTTTTCAAACTGGTTTTAATCCGTGTCAATCTTCCACATTCTTAAGCAATCATTTTTCCTTTTCGGTTTTGCTATTACCTTTTCTTGACTTCTTCCCTTAGTAAACTATAATTACGAGATTTGCCCTGATATGTTGGTTATTTTCCACGTTCAAAATGAGCCACTGAAAGCAATGGCCATATTGATCCTTTATGTCTCGGTTAGGACTGACCAGTATTGCATACATCAGGCAAAACATGATTTAGTATTGATTACATAGCTCCCTTCGAAGTGTGACGAAGAATGATGGAATAAGAAGAAGGGAGCTTCGTTACGAAGATCACTAACTTAGAAGCCTTCTAAAGGTACAGTGTTTCTAAACCTGCGCAGAAACCAAAAGCAATTAAAACTCTTCATGTCAATCACAACGTGCATAAATTAATTAACGTCATAGGTCTATTAGAACCTTGCAATCGTTGACAAAGGACGGGAAAAGACAACAACTACTCTATAGACTAAGAATAAATGCTGCAATGGTACCAAAGTTTGCTACCTTTTGAAGGAAACATGGACGGGAAGCAAAGAGCCTTGGTCTAAGGCCCGTCCACACTACGCCGGAGGAATTTCAAACGGAGGTTTCATTCTGAAAACACATCAAATGTTTTCCGTCCACAGTAAGCCGGAGAAATTAAAAAACGCAACAATCGCCGCTCATTTTGGATTTGTGTTTGAGGAAAACTTGGTCATGGAAATCACATGATTATCGTGACCCCATCGTTTTCAAAAAGCTCCGTTTTCAAAATGTTTTCGTCCACACGAAATACAGAGAGCCGACATTTTCAAATTCCTCCGGTTTGAAGAGCGTTTTCGAAAAGCTCTTTTTTCGTGACGGATTAGTGTACACGGTAGGCCTAACCGAAGAAATAAAGCTGCGTTTTCAAATTTCTCAGGCGTAGTGTGGACACTGCCTAATATTCGGGCTTTGAAAGGAACAACAAATGTCATATCACTCAAATTAATTAAAATGTCTCAACACGTCTCGTTCCTTTATGCGCGATCACTCTCGAAACGAGTTAAGTTAAATTGTTTTCAAGCAAATTTTGTCAAAAGAAAGAGGGACACTTTCTTCGGATTATTATTTTTTTTCTTTTTTTGATGGAGAATTAACGTCAAGGACAAAACCAAAAGTTTACTGAGATCTTAACACCGCTTAATGAATTATTACAAAACGTATAAAATTTATTAACAGGGAATATTTTCCGATTTCAAATTAAAAACCTACTAAAGATTGTTAGAGGGCGAGCATGTCCGGAAATGTATTAAGAATTTGCTCGATAATGCATCAAGGACTCAAATCTGTGTCTTGTGCTTTACAGAATAATACTTTGATTAATCAAGTTCACATTTCCTTTCCTTCACGACTCAAAATAAATAGTTGGCCCAAAACTAGCCTAAAACTATGGCAGAAATTTTTATGATCTGTTAAGATGGCAAAGGACCATTCCGACGGAAATGTCTTCGTGAGGAAGGAGTAATTTACAGGTAAGTGGTAAATAACCAGGGATAGCGTCTCCACTAGCATACAAATAAATGTGGTATAACTTTCGCTGTTTTTTGGGAATGAGAATCGAAAGCCCGTTACGACCCTTTGAGCACTGATCAACGTTTAAAAAGCATATAGGCAGAATGCAGGCCTCATTTCCAGCAGAGAGAATTTAGAACAGGCTGGAAAGAGAAAAGGAAATTGCCTCTAACAACAGACGCGCCTTCCATGAAGTTTGCCGTGTTGTGATGAAGTTTACGAGTAATTAAAACAAGTTAATTCGTGAAATGTGTAATAAACTGCTGATGCTATACGCGGTATAGCTATTTAAGAGATATTACGCATGCGCAGTGTTGGCTTAGATAGGTAATGATCCTCCATTAGCGCCATCGAGTCTAGCTTAAAGACCAGCGCGTGTTTGCTTAAGCCGCAAATTACCGGTAAAAGAGAGCTATAGGTTGTCATTAAAGATCATTAGTAGAGGTAATACTCTCCCGTACATGTAGGAGAGTTCAAATGTGGATAGGTCATAATTTATGGGCTTATAATATTATGAATTTGTACCGTCTGATTGATGAAATTAAACATATTTTCGTGCTGGTTGCCTATGTTCAGAATTATTTTCAATATTCTTCGTAGTATGATTACTAAGCCCCCTTGAAATGAAATCGGAAATTAGTTCAAAACCAGAATGATTATCGGACAAGCTGAGCAAAAACTCTGAATAATTTCGTTTTAATTTTGGGCGGATGATTATAATTGCATGAAATACTGACACGTAATAACTTAGTGAATAATCTTTGACTAATTTTGTAAAATAAGCTCAGACGGGTTTCTCGCGCATCAAACTTCCCTGTTAATATGTCTTCAACAAAAGGAACATTGGAAAACAGACGGCCATCTGGCATGCCAGCCGTTCGCTCGTTTTTGTACGGAATACAGTATTTTCCCTCACTCAGCAAACTTCATGATTGTTAAGTACACCTGACAAATTAGCCTGCAAATTAATTTTTTTTTTCTGTTTCTTTTTTCCTTGACCAAGCGACACAGTGAAACGATTAAAAGCGAGGAAAGCTAGCTTTGCCTCTCCTCAGAACCCACTGAAAAAGGCTTCGTAGCAATCGAATAGGAACTGAGTAAAACTTGAACGAGTGTTTCTAGTTTGAGACCGTAGCATGCAAGCGATACCAGTCGCCATTTCGCAGGCTATAATTCAGCTGGATACTAAACACTAGGGTGGACATTTCGTTCGCAAAATGATTTTTTTATGCTCAAAGTTGGATTTTTCATGTATCTTCCAGTAAAAAGGTGATTCTAATTCCTAACCGGCAAAAGGAATGGAAGAACTCAGTTCTAATTCAACTATCTACAAGCTATCTAAAACAGATTGTAAAACCTCACGAGTTACGTTCCCCTAGTTAAGAGTTACGGGCTTCAATCAAAATACTCGAAGTTTCCTCGCATTAAACCGTGGCTGCGATTAAAAGTAGACCAAACATTGCCGACAAAAGTAAGTTTTTTAATATTATAATACGTATTCCTGTTCACGTAGCTTCCTCTACTTGTGATTGGTACAGAGTGATCTTAAGTACAAACTGCTTATTAAGAGCTGTTATTCATCTTTATCACCAGTTTGCGCGGTGGAACAGAATCGCTTAAAATGCCATGGTTTGGACACAATGTAAATTAAATATCGGTGTTTCAAATGGATCTGTGGGCTGCGTGGCACTGTGGAGATAGTCCAAAAGTTATACACTGTAAATACAAATGTACCAAAAATTCAAAATATTAATTTGAGGCGAAAATTAACTGCTTAGATAAAATACTTACGTTTAGTTGTCAAATAATTTCGTAAATCAGTCGATTTCTGCTGATTAAAAAACCTGCGATTTTTTGTGATCAAATTTTGAAGGATGAAAAACTGCTTTGCTTGCGACACGTTGTCGAGTTTTGAATTTTCATGCAATTGCCTGCGGAAGATCAGAAGAACTGAAATAAAAGCTCAGGAAACCCTGAAATTGAAACCCTGGGCGCTGACAAGTAAATTTATTTCAATGAATTGTTGAACAATGGATGCTCAGGCAACTCTCTTTTTGCGCCATGTTTGTTTTCCTCTTCATTTTACTGGTACTGTTAAGTACTTCTTCAGTTCAATAAAGCTATGTACTTGTGTAGCATATCTCGCCAATTTAAACTACAACATTCCGAAATGGCGGTCTCCCAACGCACACCAAAACGAGACATGCATGGCAGTACCAGACAAAATGCTCTAGGGAGTGGAGGCGGACTGGTGCGAGTAAAGAAACAGTGCGAGAGCTGAGAAAAGAGTCAAGCTGAAGTGGGGACGGAATGTTGTCGCCTTAAGGACAAGCTGGAACGAGAAGCAATAATGATTGATGATAAGCTTGTCAATTTGACTGCCAAACTCTCAAATGGCTTAAAAATGGAATGTCTCACATCATCACTAACCAACTAGAGAATCTCTAAAACGCCAGTAAATGCTCTCACTAGCGATCTTTTTTGCCTTGATTATCCATTCAAATTGGGAGGCGCGGTGTTCTCATGTGCGCTCGTCTCCGGATCGAGCGGTCCGGGTTCGAGCCCTGGCCGGGCACATTGCGTTGTGTTCTTGCGCAAGACACTTCACTCTCACAGTGCCTCTCTCCACCCAGGTGTATAAATGGGTACCGGCGAACTTAACACTGGGGGCAACCCCACGATTGACTGGCATCCCATCCAGGGGGAAGTGGAAATACTCCTAGTCGCTTCATGCTACAGAAACCGGGATAAGCTCCGGCCTGATGGGCCAGTTGGCTTATCCATGCAAATTGTTACTTCATGCAACCCTGGAACAGCTTTGACCTCAACATGGACACTGTTTGTTGTTCTTCACGGTGTCAACTGATACTAACCTGGTTAATACTTCCTTTCTACCATTTCTTTTGTTTGTTATTCATCATTTAAAAGCCTTATTTAATCATGCAGTTTACAGGTCACGGAATCAACTAACATACCGTGACAAAGCACCAAAAAGTTAGATCAGATTTAACCTGAAACCGTTCCAGGCGGAAAGATTGTTCGAGATAACATTGTGGTATTCACATATATGAAGTGTCCTTGAAGAAGTCGAACCAAAACGTTGTGGTGAGCAAATTATTTGAATGAGTATCGCAGTTAATTTCAGGGATTATAAATATCATATCTGTTCAGCTCACACGGGAACAGAAAATGTCAGTGATTCGCGAAATTTAGTGATCGTCTAAATCAAAGCCTCTATTTTTTATATGATAGTTTACGTTGAGCAATGATCTATTTTCTGGGAGGACTTATGAGAGCAGTTTGCTGCTTGAATGAAAATTTTCCCTTCCAGAACATGTTTTTCAAAAACAAGTTCTGTTGAAGGCAAATAGTGCGTAGCGTGGCATTTCCGGTTCTCGCGAGGAGGGGGTTAAATTCGGGCGGGGTTAGTCATGGAGCACAGCAATTTCTTGTAATCGTTATCCAACGAAACAGACAATTTTTCTTCCCAAAGACCCCAAAAAACTGTTAGAGGAAAAAAGACACTCCCCCAGATGTGCTGATATGTGGATTTTAGACAAAATAAAACGAGAAACGCCAAGTTTTCACTACGACCAGTTGTTTATGTCACGGTCGAATTCTCTGTAGAGAGTGTTTTCACAGAACAGCCGAAAGTCAAACGCAATATGATAATTTGGATTGCAGAGAAGTTATACGTGTTTTGAGCTAAATCCTGCCCTCTGTAGTACAACCATAGTTTCTTGCAGACCATTTGGATGTTCGTTTTCACCAGCTTAAACGAATCAGCCGATGAACAAAACCAAGAGAAAATGAAGTCCCTTGACAAAACGAAACATGTTCAAGCGACCAAAGGAGCCCACGCTTGTTTCGACGGTCTCCAGCAATGTCTAGCTTTAATTTAAAGCGAAACGTCTCGTCGTTACAAGGTAGCTTTATAAGTACATTTTATCATGTGTTCATCGTGAGAGAAACGATGAGCTACACACTGCAATGGAGGAGATCCACTCGGTATTCAATCGGCAGAGCTGGCACGTGGAAATGCAATTAATAGTGTGACGACGTTTCATGACTCCCTTCGCAAGCTTCTAAGAATCAGGCTACGAGGCATTCGCTGCCCATTGACTGCAATGTGAACAGTTTTATACCCACCTGCACATTCACTGTCCACAACTGAGACCTCGGCTTCTTCAACAATCACAACGACGCTGCCAAGCATCTCTGGCTGCCAGCTCTAGTACGAGCGTTTATAAAATTTACACACTTCCAGCTCCATTCTGCGCTTCATTTCCCCAATAGTAACAAAAAACGGACCGTTGTGAACGAGTCCACATCCGAAGCAGACATCCTTAATTCAGAGCTCTTCAACACAAGAAGCGCATTTTTCCTCTACCGATTCAAGAGAAGCATTTTGACAAATTTCGCTGCCACACGGCCTCTCAGTTGATAGAAATTTGCTCAGAAATTTTTGATCAGCATTGTAAAATCGTGTTACCAATAGACTCTAACAAAACGATGAACGCGACGTAGAGACAGAGCTCTGTCCTGCGACTTGCAGCTGATGTACGTCATTGAACACGTCGACAGAGTATTACGTCATCTTAGACAGCGGACATGTCAGCTTACCGAGTCACTTGATGATGTCATTAAAATTACCATGAGGAAGTAAAGATAGGATATTTAAATTTAGGTAGTTACATTAAACAAGGTCTGGTAAGCATGTTTGTCGAAAACAAGTTCAGTTAGGCGTAACAACGAATTTCCGGTCCTCGCACAAGGGGGGATAACATCGGGCGTAGTTATCATGAAAAATAACGTCAATTTTCGGTTTTATTTCAAAGCACATTTCGATACGTTTGTCGTCTACATTCCTCTAAACTTTCTGTCCTAACTATTCCTTATTTACAAAAATACGTCTAGGTAAAAAGTGTCTAATTTTTTGCGAATCGAAAGGCTTTTAATCTTAAAAAAATTTTTGCATGTTTTCGTTGTTGTGATTGAATGGCAGACTGACAAGTGTTCAGTCACGCGTCAGTTGTTCCGTACAGTTTAATTCCCAAGACAAAAGCGGTGAAGTGTTATGGATTTCCTCGGCTTAAAAACAACACTGCGTGCTCAGACTAATATATATAACGATAATTATTATTCAATCAACATCTTATCAAGCTAAATATGTTTTGAATCAAAGAGCAGCACCGTCTTTCCATCTCAGTGAGTGGTCCAACTAAGAGGGAGATCGGAGAATAAAACTGGAACTATATCACATGAGTACTCTGGGGTAGAGCCCGCTCTTATGCGCTGTTGGTTAAGGAGATTAACCGTATAGAAGGGTAGCAAGATAATTTTACTGTTATAAAGGCTTGTAGGAGTGTTGCGTGTTGTCATTTTCATAAGCGCGTATTTTGGAGAATAGCTATTTGTCAGTGCTTTTAGAATCTTGTATGAAGGACGCTACTCGAAAGCTAGCACTTTTGCTGCTTTATCCCACTGAAGCTCTCTAACTCCACAAAAACGAATGCTTAGTACTTAGCAATGGCTTTAGCGCCTTGAGCTGCTGTTTTCTCCTGGTATTTTTGATTTTCAAGAGAATATCAATCTCTTGTGATGTTAGATTGCAAGTATTCTAAGATTTTATCTACGGCTTATGCCGGTGCCACTTAGGCACGCAGACTGGATTATGCATGTATGTATTCTTAGACTTTTCACTGACCTTTTTTTCCTTTCTCTTCCACGTTTTCGGTCAAATCCTAGTGGGATAATTTAAAATTGGAGAAATAGGCAGATTTTCATCTTGAAGGCCAAAAACGAAGTGTTATAAAGCCAAAGAGAAGGACAGAGGATTCAGGAATCAACATCTTTCTGTCCAAAGTAAACAATAAAGTAGCTTTTCAGCTATGTATATCCCGCTTACAACTAGTCAAAAGATCACTGATTAGTAATCGATATTCATTTGAAGAGCATGCGTGGTTCCATAGATTTTTCTTTTTTGCGAAATCATTGACCTTTGGAACTTGCAAAATCTCAGTGTGGCGTGAGCAGAGGGAATAACTGGTATTACCAGTTTTACTGGATCCTTGAAACCTGATTATAGATGTCTCTCGGGGCAATTTACATGAATTTTATTTATTTACTCATGCAATTATACAGCAGTGTAAAGCGGAATCGTAAAGGGTGGATTACTTTTCCACATGAAAACTCGAACCGTACCAAACGGTGTTGGAACCCTCTTAGTTTTGTTCCTTTCATTGATCATATCAGCACTCACTCACACTTTTGGGTTAAGCAAGATTCAGCTGAGTGATGTAATTTTCTGTAACTGTCAAACTACATGGAAAGTGGAAATGTTGTTCTGTGAACACAGCGGGGGAGCATAGCTCAGTAAAAGAATTTACCCACGAGCTCACGAATACAGATCACGACTTATGAATTTACTCCTTCCTTTTACACCACAAGCTAAAATCTTAGCTTAATTTGCATAATCAATTTTGCGTTAAGCGCATTCGATCTGTCCAGTTTCATTTCAGGGTTTAGTTATCTTGAGAACTCTCTGTCAAACAATTCAATTTTTCTATTGCCTTTGTTTCTATATAAGATATGAAACAACTCCTTTGAGGCAAGTGTGATGGTACGGAATAAAAAGCTTGGGAGCTTGGGAGCTAACTCCAATAAAACGTGAATTGACAGCAATGTCACAAGTGTTAGTCTGTAGAATTTGCCAAGTTTTAATATTTCACCGTCCTTGATCATGTATAATCTCAACATTATCTTGGACTATCACTGCTTAAAAATCGACGATTTAGACCTCTTAGCTTGACTTAGCGGGAAACTTTCAAGTCCGGACGCACATGAAAGGATAAATCACCGGGTCTTTGGTCGAGCCCCGAAACGACATATTTGAATGTGTACTATGGATACAGCGTTCTGATGTAATCTCAGCATGCAGTTCATATGTGGTAACGCTTTTAATGTCGGCAAAACCAAATATATCTAGAGACAGGAACCTAAAAGAAGCAAAAAGAAAAAATCGTGCGCCAAAGAGGGCGATATTTTAAGTGATATTTTTCGAACAGTTTTAGTAGAGTTAAAATCCTCTCTTTGGGCGATCGATGTTACGGTTTACGCAGACCTGACATGACCGCGCTATTGTCGTGAAAAGCAAAAGTAGACTAAAACTTTAGATCAAAATGTCGAATTTTGAAAGTTCGTAATCAGCACCTGCCGTCAAATCTTTTCACAATGGCACCTCATGAACAAGTACAATGGAGAACGAACCGCACATCACATAAGATCGATTCAGTGCGTGGCAACATTTGACCCACACACTCTTTAAAAAATCTTAACAATGCTTTTGGCGGGGACTTGAATGAAAGTTTTAGCGATTTTTTCGATACCGAAATGAAATAGTCGAAATAGCCCAAGGTGAGCCATGAGGAATGAGGCTGCACTACAAAACACGAATTTGGTATGTGCAATGCAAGGTATGTTTTCAGTTTATTTTTAACTCCAACCAGGCTAAGACGGCCAAGGTTAAGGGTAGTGACTGAAAGATTTATACCAAGGCAGGATTCCTACTTGTCGTAAAGCATTGCTGAGTAGAAGTAAGCAAAGTTGTATGCATACAATACAAGCCAGGAATAAAGTGACTTCCTTCATAATCATTAGTTTCAACTGATTTTTTCGCGGCATATATTTCTTGTTGAGTTGTTTGAAGGGCAATCCTACCACGCAACCCGTTGCGCGCGCTAAATATAACATGGTGATGTTCTATTTTAAAAGAACCCTCTCATAGGTGGAATCCGAGCCAAGAGTATAAAAGACGCGCGAGGAATCGCTGCAGTGCATCAACGAAATAAAATACAACTTTGCATAGCAGACGTGTACCGCGTCTACTCTCAGAGAGCGCCATTGAAAATTGTTAGGTTTGATATGAGTCTTTGGATGAGTAGAAGCTCTTATTGTGTTTCTCAGCGGGACATTGCTTCTTATTGAAATTGAAATCTATTCAAATTTTATATTTACGGTTCAGTAAAGCTCCGTCTTCAACACAGTACTTGATATGATCTTGACAACACTGACTAAATTGTGGTAAAGTGACGTTAGTGGCAAAGAAAGACGCATTCTTTCTGGTTGAGTAGGTTAGTTTGTACACAAACATAACTGCGCTGGGTGGAAATCTGAACGCCAAGGATGTTTGTCAGCGGAATATAAAGCAATTTTAAAAAATAATAAAATAAATTAAAATGATTCATAAACTATCCTGGGTTGGAGTTTCCTACTAAAATATCGCTCGAGATGAAGGGGGCCGGTTTAATAATAATAAAAAAGAAAGCAAGTGAAAGAAATTTATAAATGTTTGCGATATTTTGAACTGGAAAGTGATGAATATAGAAGAGTACCTGCTGTATCTGGAGCAATAACTGACTTTGTTTTTTGCTATTCTTACAAAAGTGCAATGGAAAAATGGCTCCATAGTCACAGGAGGTCTTCCGTGTTCTCTTACAGTTTAGATAACGGAAAGATAATCACGACTGCCCAGATAATTCAAACAAAAAACGGTTACAAAATATCGCAAGCGTGGATTTCATTTCGATATGAAAAAAAAAGAAGACTTAATCGTTAAACCACAGAACTTAACTATGTTAGAACTGACATAACAGCTCAACTTGCCCGAGGCTAGAATTGAAATGTGTGGGAACGTTATGTCACTCCATCTGGAAGAAAAAAGAGACGATTCAACTGACTCCATTGTTCGTCCTCCGCTGATTAAGTTAATACGATTTAATTTTAATTACTGATGAAGCGTGTGTCGCATTGTATGCTCGGAAACCCCAGAGTGACATTTTCAAATTCACCAGACACTTCCTAGATAAGTAGAAAGCCTCGCTTCTAATTGAAACCCTGGGAGATTTCCACCTAGCTGGTCAGAGTGAACGACAGTACCGCTCTGCAGACGGTTTTCACGGTATGTCGGTTAAGTAATCTCGACGCTGATTCGATTAAACCATAATTTGACCACAGACATAACATTCCGCCCAGACCTATAAGTTACCCTCAAAACAGTCCATTTCAAAATTCATCAATTTCAAGCGAGTCCTGTGGCAGCAGTTGGAACGTTCCGCAAAAAATCCGACGACATGATGGACGAGTGGCGCCGTAGGATGCCAACTCCACACTTGGCGACGTCTATTCCGCATTACCACGCTCTTGATTTTGGAAGAACGATGCCTCTGCGGCATCCACCAACGATAGTGCACGCCAGACCTAACATCACCTCCTCGCCTCAAACCTTCCTGCCTTTCTCACATACGCTAGGTCATCGACTGCCAATCCCTGTGGCAAGCAGAGAGCTGTCGATCTCTTCATCCTCTTCCTCACTTTCCTCTACACAAATACAGGCTTCTACTAATGAAAGCGATGCAAGAGCTCAAAACGTGGAGAAGAAGCGATGGCAAACGGCGAATTATCGCTGGATGTTCACTAAAAGAAAAGGTAACAAACTCAACCTGCTATTGATCCAACTCAAACATTAAAGGAACATGCTTGCAACATTTAGATTTCTGATTATTTCTGTTACAACGTGTACAAACCCGTCAACAAACTGGTTCACCACCATATTTCGTCTTTACATTGCTACATATTAGTTTGTATTTTTAGCTTTAATCGAGTGCGATTTTTCGAGTGCTCATTAAACCCCTCGTAAATCATACGAGATAAAATCTAGATACCTTCAATTCACTCCCTCAGAGTTAAACCATCACTGAATAGTTCTGAATTCTTGTATCTCTGTAGCATTTTTTGTGTGTAGCATCATCGAAATGAAACTATGTTTTTTTTTAAGTTTGCATTTATCACCTGCTCGAGGATTGACAGTTTTTTCGCTAAGCATGAAGCACATCATTCTTCGAATCCACGCGCCATTGAACCTCAAATACCATGGACAAAAAAGAATGCATCTCTTTTGGAAACGCGTATATTAATCGATTGGTAAATATTGAACATGAACCATCTACTGACACAGGTATTGATAATATTTTCAACAAGCATAGCATTTTTAAAGCCGATCAATTTTACAAACTACCAGGTGACGACGAGGGATTTTAGTCTTTTATTGAGAACAAGGGTCAGGGAATGGAACACAAAGATTCCCTCAAGGAGGACCGGTTGTCTTGTGTATTATGCGTTCATTCGAAAGCTAAGACAAAATACAACCTATATATCAAAATAAGTAATGAACTCGATTTCACAGTTCATCTAGTTAATCATTCTGCGCTGGATCAATGCTTCGAGAGTCGGAGCAGAGCAAAGTTCACCACCGCCTCTTAAGGACACAAACACCCGAAAATTCACTCATACGCTGCGGAGAATAAATTGATTTACTTTGATTTAGTAAGCTTGTTGGTTTCACCTGCCCCGGTGTGGTTGTTTATTTACAGAAATACAGGAACTCCTTCCCGAATATTTCGATTAAAAGCTGTAAATTGGTAATTTATTTTTTGAAGAGTAAGACTGACACTTCTCAAATTCTTTATAATCATGATTGCCTTGGCTTCAATATAATGTCCTAATTGAACTCTTGAAAAGTCATGAGTTTTTCGTAAACTAGGCTCTAAAACAGACTCGCTAAATCGCGTTGTACTTGATATCTCTTGCACAGAACTGGGCAATCCTAGACAGAACATTTGGACCGGCCTTGTGTTTTCAAAGATCATCAGCCTCCGAAGGCTTCATTGAAATTTTGCTCTATATTCTAAGCAAACAACCTTATTTCTTGGCCGGCAAGAAACCTTACAAACCGTCGCCGGTAAAGCAGAAGAAAACTAGTGCTTTGATTTAAACTGCATTCATCAGTGTAGTTCCAATTGACCATAAGCTTTCAAAATTCTCATCAGTGTATCAGAAACCTGCCCTGACTGTTGCACCCAGATTGATCCATGTAATCGTAGCTATTCTTGCTCCGATAGCTAAATATAAACTGCCCAAAATAATGTGAACAGATTCTGCTAACTTTTAACATAAAGAAACTTAACAGTGTTCAGTAGCATTTATGCTTAAGGTGTGCTAGAAAGCTTTAAAGAATTCAACAGCGCTACATTGAACAAGACCATCTCTTCAAACACTGATTGGCAAACGCATCATTTCTAACCGCGGTGCAAGCATGCTTTAAACACAATGCACAACATATAATACGAACTTTGCAGCATTGAAACAGATTTTAAATTACTTCAATGCGATTATCGTAACACTAATACTTAATTTGTTTTATTCTTTGCGAGATTTCCTGTCGCAGAATCGAGCAGCGGCACAATGAAACCACGATCCTTCCATTAATCTTTCAGTGAAGCATTCAATTTAATACGTGTTTGTTGATGGCTCGGCGTAACCCCGAGTGTAGCTAACGGAAAATCAGTGACTCAAACCCATTTTTGCAGTGTTTTTATAGAGTGGTCTTCATAGACATAGAGAGAAGGCATTTCAGCCTCTAAAAGATTTAGGAACGCACCCATATTAAATAAACTAAGGTCGGCAATGTGCAGTGTAGGTGCTTCTCTTTCTTCTTAATCTCGCCACAAATTAACAAGTGGGATCTATGCTTTGTCTTTCAAACAACTTTTATCGTTTTCTCAAACGAAGTAGAAAAAGGTTATCTCGTCTCCCATCAACCACATCCGAAACAGTTTACATTCATCTTTAAACATTGTGACCCCGCTGAATATTAAAAACACTGTCTAGCTTCGCCATACGTTCTTACCCCTTCCTACGATAATTAAAGCAAACAGTAAATATATAATAAGTAAGGACGAGGGAAGACGTTACTGTTTTGAACCGATCTACATTCAAGGCTATATCCCTTAACTATATTCAAAGGACAAGTATAGATTGAAGTGTTATGGAGACGAAAACCTCTAACAGAAGCAAACTGGTTGTGGTTTGGTTTGATGCATCGATGATTTCAAAAAGACACCTTTCGGAAACCTGAAGGCATGATTTGAAATCAGTTATTAGTGTATCAAAGATAGCAGTTCTTTTTGTTTTAACGGTTTTCGTCTTCTTTTCGTGTCTTCTTACAGCAGGAGCTGCTAAGGTCACAGAAAAGGAGGAAACAAATCCCGAGATAAAAAGCCAAACTGCAATGAGTCAGAAGAAGAGATTTACCTTCACTCAACGACAACTCGTCGAACTGGAGAAGGAGTTCCACTTTAGCAAATACTTGACACGGACACGACGCATTGAAATAGCATCTAATTTGGCGCTTACTGAAACACAGATTAAAATATGGTTTCAAAATCGACGAATGAAATGGAAAAGAGAACTAAAAGAATCAATTCGAAAACAAGGGGTGAATGAATCGTCTACAGTGCCCTTCAACCATGGGTTTCATAATGGCTACCAGCGATCTCTTCGAGAAAGCGCCCCATCTTATCAGAGGCAAAATCCAGAACTTTATGTTCAACATACCGCACCTCAATATTTTCCCAATTATCTATCGCTTTAATGTACAAACAGCGCAAGAAAACCTAATTTATATAGCACGAAAGACATATTAATTTAACAAAAGTATACTCTAAAGCAAGAATATGGACAAAAATATTTCTATCTCCGCAGAAGAGGTATTTAACTGAAGCAGACTATTGTAGCAAGCTACAACCAACTCAAGGGCTCTCCAAGTGACAAAAGCTAGAGCCTAAAAAAAACTGTCTGATTAATTGGATTTCATTTCAGGATGAAGTGAACATCTGATAACATCTTATCTAAATAACATATACACACAAAGAAGGAAACAAAACCGAAAGCCAAAGAGAGGAAATAGTGATTAACCGAACGCCTCACACAAAAAGTGCGTCCGTAACAATGTTCAAAGGAGATTGATACCTTTGTTTGAGTTGAGGCCCTGGCTTTCCGCTCGCTCCAAAGAAAGCATTTTCGTGTCCTTATGGCGAAGCAAGAGGCCACACACGGCTCCAGAATTCAACCAAATGGAACGCGGCGGTAAATTTTAACACGCCTATAAAAAAAATTGGGGCAGGCGAGGCAGTGTGCAATGCAAAGTTGTTTATTAGAATATTCCATCATTCCTTTTCATTTTGGCTGTCAGTCTGTCGTTGCTTGCAGTTAATCTGGCTGTTTCGTCGATGTGGTCTTTGATCTGAGGGAAGCGCTCCGATTAGTCAATGTCGCTAGGTATTATGTGAGGAACAAAAGAGAGGCAACCCCGTGGACAGGAGGCATGCGCCCGTCATTTAAGATCGACTGAGTCAAACAATATTACAAGGAAACTTCACCGCGCAGGTGTCCAAATACTGCACGGAACACGGGAAGAGCATCTAAGAACAAACGTTCTTTGTGAAGATCACGCCTCTTGTTTACATTCCTGTTGCTATTTTCACGACATTTCTCGACAATCCAATAATTTTGTTTTTAATATGCCTACCAGAAAAAAAAAAACTTATATTGTAAGGATGCGCCAATAAATATCAAGTCTAATATTAGCTGTGTGTAAATCGTAAATCAAAAGAAATAAAATGAGATCCAGCTTAAATAGTCTTTTGTGACTCTTTGTTATTCGCCGAACTTTTCTGTCACAAACGATGACGTCACTTGCTGACGGTGGAATGAAAATAAATATTTTCATACACTAATAACTTTTAGCCAAAATGTTTCGTCTTGCAACTTTCTCTACGATTAAAACTTCAAAATTAAGAAAAGCAAATAAAGGAAAACAGATCCCTAAAAAGTTGACTCGAGTACAATGCATGTGTAAGTCAACGATTCAAAACTCTTCTCATTTTCGTTGGGCGCGACATTTTGAGAGCAAAGTATAACCAAAAGGTGTGAATAGAAGCTTCTTGACCTGCGGTGTAAGTTAAAAGAATTGATTGATCTGACAATTCAATTAAAATAAATCCAGTTAGATTTTATCGCGTACTTCAAATAAGTGAGTGACGCTAAGCGTGTGCAAGTTGTTAATAAAAACGTTTTGGCGGTGTAGAGTTGCAGGTGGAAATGCTATAGATAAAATCATATAAAGCCTATGAGACTTGAGACAAAACCAAATAGCCGTACACGAAGCTCTTATCGGGAGACGCCATTAAAAAGACGCTGTATGTATGGACCAGCATACCAGAGAACATTCCAGGGACATTTTCAAATATATATAGAGTGGCAAATTTCAGGTTAATTCTGCAGTACACATTACTTAAGAAAACGTGAGAAGAATGTTTAATTTTTATGAAACTCTTGAGAGTAACAGCTGTCTCCTTTGAATTCCCACCAAAAAAAGTATTAAGTGCTTGCATGGTTAAATAATCTTGTGGTTTAACGTCGCCTATGTCTTTTGTTGTTGATTTATGAACCGTTAGAGGCGATACCACAAAACTTGCATATGTCGGCACGCGATTTGTTCCAATCACACATGTTTTAAAATACTGCTTTTTTGGAAGACACTATTAGTCGAGTCATGCACAAACTTAGCCATGCGACGCTCAGAAATGCCAATAACTCAAAGTTATAACTCTTGGCCTATCTTTTTCTAGTTTGCTGACTAATTGGGCATAAACCGTCTCTAAGCTGTCCTCTGCACCGTGCGAATAAACGTTTACGCGACTCAGCTCGCCGGACACGCTAAATGTTCATTTGAGGGGCGAAACACTAGTACTATTTTGTAAACAGTCACTCTTTACTTTGCAATTATGAGTTTCCGGTTCTGATTAACAGAACAACACGCCACAAAAGATATGTGTTTTGTGAGAAACGGTGGCATAATAGATGTCCTCGAGGAAAATTTGCTTATCAAACTCATCCATCATGAATCTATCAACTCGGGATGACTACGATATTCATAACGCTGGAGGGCTTAAATAATAAATCGGCAGCCTCTTATGCATACCAATTGTTCTCCAAAATCGGCACTTCATTGAAAATTGAGATTTCAAAGTTCAGTTGGATTCGTGTAATAGCTTTTCGATGAGAATACTCTTACTTAATTTCAGTAAATCCTAGTTATTTTTAATTATTCAACAGTTCAATGGCTCTCTTAAGTGTTAGCCTTGGCAGTTACGTTCGTTCAAAGCCTTTCCCACCAGGGGGTCAGTTATTCTGCTAATAAAATACTTTCTGAATGCGTCCACCTCTTTCCTCTACGGAAAAGTAAGAGACTTGGAAAAACGTCTTCTACTGAACACAGAGGTGAACTTTTTATTTACACTCATTAAGCGAACAAACTGTACTTTGAATTTTGTTAATTTGTTTTTAGTTTGTCAAAGTTGTACCGGTTACGCCGCAGGGGTCGGCAACTTAATTCAACTCTTAATCAAATACTCTTTAAAGCAATCCGCCAAATTAAGTAGATAAACATTGAAGTAGCAAACAATATTTCGTCCCAAAAATAAAAATTATATATGTTTTTATAACAAATGATTTGATGTTTGTTGATTCTGATCGGCACCAGTCAAAAGAAAGTTCACTAACAGGGTTGACACAAGTTATGAATGGATGTCTTTGCATAGTTATCTTTTGATATCTGGCGTTGTGCGTGACACTGAAGTACTGCAATTGCTGATCCAGTAGGCTACCTTACTTACATAAACGAGCAAATCTAGCTGAGAGCAAAAATTCAGAGCAAACTATTTCAGATTGCTTTTGTACATAGAAACGCATGCCAACACTTTAATCTTCTAAGGTCTCCAACTTGCTTCTTTTGGAACAGAGACTGGGAGGGGTGGATAATATCTCCCAGTGAAATGATGTCTCCCAGGGAAAAGCCCAAGTGACATTTCAGTCTGCATACCTATGGGAATGATTAAGGTGATTTCCGCAGAACATTCGAGCAAAAACGGCAAAAGTAAAGCTACCAAAAAACGTCGTAGCACGGTAATATTTTGAATAAAGGCAAGAAGAACTCAGTTACCGAGATTTAAGCTCTCAAGCTGACCCCCCCCCCCCCCCCCCCCCCCCCCCCCCCCNCCCCCCCCCCCCAGGGAAAATTTAACTAGAAGTTATCCATATTTCAATTAAAACGGACGTTTCACGTTAGTTGAAAACACAATAGCACACGTATTAAGCATTCTTACGATGTTTGACATTAACTTTCTCGAGAACTGATGCTTGGGGATTTAATCGCGGGGTCACCTAAAGAAATGATATACGGTGGGATGTTTTAAATAGTATTCAAAAAGTTATCGTGCTGTGAGTAGATTTTAGGGAATAATTTTTGCACTTATTGCTCGAACTTTGAGCGGAATCCATCTTACATTCTTTAAAAACACAGATATAGGCAGACATACTTTTATTTTATTCTGATCATGATTATTTTAGTATTGTTATTTTAATTATTTTGGTATGAAGTATTCATTTTTAACATTTTAATACTGTATGCTCATTCTTTTTGAGTGTCCCCAGTTGGTCCGCTGGGACTAAATACTTCGACACTTAAATAAAGGATGTTATATTTTTATTTAAGCTTGGAAATACATACACTTCAACAGCTAGTTCGTAGAGATATTCCGATGTTCTGTTGTAGGTAACAGCGAAAGAAATAAAACCAACGACCAAATTAATAACTTAAAGTAATATTTATTACAATTACGTGTTGACAACAAAATTTACATTAAGAATTAAAAGTTGCAAGTCGCTGGCTCAATGTCCTTAGCAATGCGACACCGCCAAGCTTTGGGTGAAAACCTTTTTAATAGACCCAATACAGTTGGGAAGACAAAAGTATCTGCGAGAAAGTTTCATTTGTCCATACAAAATATTTCGATTTCTCTTTAACGTGTAAAGAATGTAAACCCCAGTTTTAAATGTCTATGTAAACAGCGAGCTAGTGAAGTCATAGAAAAAGCCGCGACAAATCGAAGAAAATGAAATAATTACTAGTAAGCGTAAGAATTCCAAGGGAACACAAATCGTTACAAATGTAGATGTACGTAAAACAGCATTTGTAAACCGGCTGCAGAAGTTTTGTAAGGGGGGAGGCGAGGGTGTGGTGGATAAAGCAAACCAGGTGGAAATGAGCACGAACAGCAAGAAAATACAAATAAAAGCTGCTCCTGCGGTAAGAAAAATACGAGATTCTTAATTTATCTACGACCTGATTTTCACCACATAATGATTGTAGATTTCAAAAATATACTTAACTGTGCATTATGGAACTGTGTGTCATTATGGAATAGTTTAGAAAGAAATCTTAGGCTAAGCGAATCTCTGAATATTTTTAAACGAAGATTACGAGGTAAACTCTTACGTGAATTTTTATTTTGATAATACAATATTGTGACATAATTCTACCCTATTTCATATCATTTTTATAATTCAATGGTACTTTGATTTATTTCATTGTAATTTTAAAGTAACTTATTTAGTAGTACTGTATTAGTACTGAAAAGCCCCCATGGGGAGTGCTAACAAAATTTGTATTGTATTGTAACTGTTGCTATCAATCTTTATTTTTCTCAGCTGTCGGACGAAAATTAATTCTAGTCGTTTTATATCTTAATGAGAATAGTTTAATGTCACAGGTCAGGAGGAGAAAACTGTAGTTAACAGCTGTCAGAGAGAAATACTTACAAGCAAAGAGCTAAGGAAGCTGTCAATACATGAAGTCATTTCTTTCTTGACGTGAATAAAAAGGAAACTTGAAAAATGTATTTAAAAATTTTTCAAGTCCCGCTAAGAGCACAAACAAGAGGAACTTTTGTTTTGTCTTTGTGTTTTGTTCTTTTTCTAAATATCTTTATTTTTGCATTCAGATTGCTTCCACAGTTAGATAAACTTATTTTGAAGGCAGAGAAGCCAAATTACTCGCCTGAAGGTTGGTATGTGATTAGTATGGCTTAAACGGAAGAGAAAGTTGTTGAAAAATAAGCAAAAATACTTCTGGACGGACACTATAGGTGCTAAGGTTATCTAATCTGCATTGAGTTCTGTAAAACTGAATTACTTAAAGGGAAAGTTTTCAAAGGTTCGGCTAGTTGGTGTCTTGGTGAAATGTTTCCATAGGAAAGTAATTTATTTTCAAAGTAAAGATACGGCGGCGGCGACGTCAGGCTCTGTGCCAACTGTCAATTTCAGATGTAGGTCCGTAACGCATACATGCGATTAAACCACACTGTTACTACTGTCTGGTAATATAGTTCAAAAATTCAAAACAAAACTAGTTCGTATCACCTTGTAACAAATTCTAATCTTAAGTAGCAGTTGAAAAAAAACAACTGAATTATTGGTCTAAGAATGTATGAATAACCCACTTTAATTATATCAGAATATAAGCCACATCAGCTTTAGTTGGCTTTCATGGTCGAATTGGAATTTGGAGATGTTGGTTTTTGCGGAGGGAAGAAAACCGGAGAACATAGAGGAAAACCCTCGAAGCAAGGCGAGAACCAACACCAAACTCAACCCACATATGGGGAGCAAGCGCTCGCACCACTGTGCCATTCCCCTTTAAACTCTAACACCTAGACCCACCTGTATTATAGCTAGGTGGACGTAGACGTCAAAATGAAAGGTTTATTTGGACTAGACGTTGTTAGTAGAACTCAAAACACTTATTTCCCTTCCTTTCCTCTTCCCATCCTTGAGGACGTTCTGAAACAAGTAATTCATTACCTGTCCGCAGTAGATGTTTGAAGAAAATCTATCGAGTTTAGCATAGACATAACGAGGTCATACAAGACATGCTTATTTAATACTTCGATTTTCAACGTTTAGAAAGCATGTCATTAAAATACCCTGGCTTTGCAGACTTTCCCTTATCTGCCAATTAAGGCCACAAATCAAATTTTCCTGATAACTTATCTTCACTGCACGTGTCATGTTGCCACTGCTAACAAACAAATGTCTAGAGTTTGGAATCAGTTTATCGATCGTCACTACATCATGTGCCTGATCCTTTTGATATCGTGTGTGTGTTTTTCTCATCTATCCGCCACGATCAAGTGACACTTGGCTTGTGGTAGTCAGTTCGGATAGATATGAACTGCTAACTTTAATAC